CCTGGTAGATCGACGAGCTGGTCAAGCGAAGAATTGATAATCAAAGCGATCCCAAAGCCCTGTCTTTTTTCCCTTAACGAGTTCGATTGCTTCGATTCGACCAGCAAATCTCTCCCTTTTCCCTTTCTCTTTTATCGCAATTTATATTCATATTGCGAGAACGTAAATTTTTTTAACAAATATATATATATATATATATATATATAAATGATTTCTTTCTTCTATCCATGATATTTAAAAAAAGAAAAATTACATTAAAATTAATACGTATTTTCAGTTCTTCCAAAATTCGACATCCTTCAAAGAGAATAATTTCTCTTTTCCTTCTATCTATGTATTGAAAAAAAAAAAAAAAGGAGAAGAAAAAGAAGAGGAAAAATTTTCACAATTCTCAATTGAAGTGTACTCACGATGCGTGAGACCATAAAAAAAAAAGAAGAAGAAGATTAAGTCCAGCTAGAGTACTAGATTTAATCACGCTATTTTTTCCTCACGAAGGAGCACGGATGAAAAGTCGTGAATTTCCACGAGGTGTCAGCGAGCCGCGGCTCCTTCTTCACTGCCGGTAAGAAATCGTGAAACGGGTTGAGGATGCGTGGAGTGGCGAACCGGAGGGGGTGGGATGAGAGAGCGACTCGACGTCGAGAGGGATCCGCCCTCTCGTGAAGGGTCCAGCCAGTAGACAGTCTCACTAATTACGCCGCGCCTCATTAGCGTGGAAGCCTGGCAGTCGCTTAAGGACACGTACGACGACTCTTCTTCGGTTTCGTCAAAGATACGGATTTTTTTCGCTCTTTTTTCTTTCTTTCTTTTCTCTTCCTCCTCTTCTTCTTCTTCTTCTTCTTTCTACTCCATCCCTCTTTCTTTCCTTTCTTTCTTTTCGCTTTTTTCTTCCCCCCCCTCCCTGTCTCTTTCTCCCCCTTTTCCTTTGCCAGCCGAGGAGAAGAGAGATGAAAGGGGAAGAGGAGGGGGGAGTCCTTTTCCGCGACTCTTCTTCGCTCGCTGACACGGGAATAGGAAAAAAAAATATTAGCAATGAGAGAAATCCTCTTTTTGCCGCGAGGCAAGAGTTCGAAGAGCTTCCGAGGCACGACGATCCACCACGTGGAAATTGCAGTTACGTGGAGAAGTACTACGTAGGTACGTTGTTGTTTCTTGGGGAAAATTGGGATTGGCAAGAGTGATGCTTCTTGTCTTGCGAGGTAAGAATTTTTAAATTGAAGTTTTTTTCCTTTCATTCAAGGATTTAAATCCCCTTGGTTTATGAATATCTCTAATAGCTATAATATCTCTAATAATATCTCTAATATCTCTAATAATAATCGCAATTCGTGTAAGTTTGTTAATTTAAATAAAATGTTGAAACAGAATTTTATTTTCAGACACCTTTGACTTGAAGAGATCGAGCGAAACTGGTTTAATAACTTGGTTACTAAGAGGAATCGAATTCGTGAGTAATAAAAATTACTTTCTTAAATCCGTAAGAGAGTCATTAAATGAAAATATTTGTCAATTATAATTTTATAACTTCCTATTCTATTAATTATTAGGATAGTTTCTCCAAAGAAGTAGTAAAATTAAACGAGAGAAAAGGGAGAATTTTCATGGATTGTCGAACAGAATGGTAAAGAGAGATACGGTGTAGATTGCCGATTCGGTTAGAAGGGGTGGATTTTCGAAGGCGATTTAAAGCACAATGCGGTTCAATGCCGAGGAAATTAGCCACGGCGCTGCCGGTGACGCCCGTCATCCCCATACCATAGAAAACAGAGACCGTATCTATCCTCGTTCCATGGGAGTGGAGTACATCATCGTTCGTATTTTCAATCAAGTTTCTTTGGAAACGATCATCCACCTAAATTTTTAAAGCTTTTCAACTATTTCCCTTCGCGTAACAATTTCTATCGCCACTTTCAAATATCCACAAATAATTTGAAGAATTTTAATTTTAAATTTATAATTTTTTAAATATCAATCGTAACAAAATTTCGATACGCGGATTATAAATTTATTTATAATCAACGAGACGAATAACGGTTGTGAAAGGAGAAGAAAAAAGCGGTCTGATAAAACGAATATTTTTATGCTCTTCTACTCTCTCTCTCTCTCTCTATCTTCGTTCAGAGAAAGGAGCAGGCTTTGAAGTTTCAGGCCAAAGAGAGGCAGAACGCGGGGCATCATCGAGTGTCTGAAGAGATCGCGAGGACAAGTTCACCTATGCTCTCGAAGATGAATGGATCCTATAGTTAATGGCGGGGAGGCTGTATCGCAGGTAGTAGACATACGTGAAGAATGAATAGGCGAGGGTGAACGAGCATTTAGAGAAGAAGCCTCTGTTCCATCCTCCTACTCCTCCTACTACTTCATCCTACTCCTGGACCGCTTTGTTCGACTCGTCTTCGAGATCCAAGTTTTTCCATGGAAAACACGTGTCCTCGTTACCGGTCCAACAGTAATTACCGTCCATCTGCCAAACATCTTTTTTGTCACTTGCATGCAACAACCATGGTAAGCGTACGTCAGACTCCTCCTCGATAATCGTTTCTCATCCTTGATTTTTATTATCGATCTCGTTATTGATTTTCATTGTCTCTCTTTCACCGTTCATTTCCTATTTTATTGTCGATCTCATCGTACAGTTTTAATTGTCCTTCTTAACATTTATCGTTGTTATTATTATTATTCATAATTTATCGTAATTTAACAAGATTTATTCATTATTATTATTCATAATTTAAGATAAAGAATAATAAAACTAAATAATAATTGCAGACGAGGAAGAAGCTATATTTACGTCCCGGGAAGATAAAGAAAAGACGAAAGATGAAAGAGGGAAAACGGGCTGATCCGCCGTGTCAGAGCGTCTAAACGTCCTTTTTTTTCGAGACGTCCACGACGAAAACGACTAATGGATGGATAATGACGCGTAATGGATGCAACGGACATTACAGGTAATATCTCGTGAAAGCGGGAGCCAGTTTCCGCGAGGAACGGAGAAAAAGGTAGAGGAAAAGAGAGAGGCGTGGTAAATAGACGCGGCACACCTCGCTGCCGATGGATGGGACGCGGCCGCCCAGAGAGGTAATTTCCACCGGCGGAATCGAGACTGAAGAACTGCTATAGAAGCTTTCAGGAAAGACTTGAACAGTTTCGCGTGGTCGTAGCGCTACAAGAGCTTGATGATGGAGATATATCGTTACTTTCGATGGATTTTCATCGTCTTATAGGTTGCTGTTTTTGTCCTTCGAGTGGAGAACGAGTGAATTTCAAGAGTATTATACATATACGTAGTATATAGATGATAGAAAACGATAGAATATTCCGAGAAATGGCAACAGTGGAAGTAGTAAAAGTCATGGTACTATTTTCAATTTTTCATATCTATTTCTCTCTCTCTCTCTCTCTTTCTGTTTCCCCTTCTCCTTTATTTATACTATTACGTAGCATCAAAACTGTCAGAATCCTTACTTTCTCCTGTTC